ATGGATTTAGACAAATGTATAGTGACTTGTAGACACTATTATGGTATCATACAAAATATTTTGCACTGCCCGAGGAATCCTCTATTCTCCCCCCCCCCCCCCCACAGCCTTGGCAACCACGGGCCTTTTTACTGCCTCCACCATTTGCCTTTTCCAAAATGTCATAGAGTTGGAATTGTACAGTTTGTAGCCTTTTTAGACTGGCTTCTTTCACTTCATAATAAACATTTAAGGTTCCTCCATGTCTTTTCAAGGCCTGGTAGCTCATTTCTTTTTAATACTATATATATCATCCCACTGTCTGGTTGTACCACAATTAATCCATTCACCTATTGAAGAGATGTATCTTGGTTGTTTTCAAGTTTCGACAATTATGAATAAAGTTGCTATAGACATTGCTGTACAGGTTTTTGGGTGGATATAAGTTTTCAGCTCCTTTGGGTAAATACTAAGGAGCATGATTTCTGGATCATACATTTAAGTTTTGTAAGAATCTGCCAAACTGTCTTCCAAAGTGTACCATTTTGCATTCCCACCAGCAGTGAATGAGAGCTCCTATTGCTCCACATCCTTGCTAGCGCCTGATGGTGTCGGTGTTCTGGATTTTGACCACTCTAACAGGTATCTCATTGTAGTTAGTTTTGGTTTGCCTTTCCCTGATGACATATGATGTGGAGCATTTTTCATATGCTTATTTGCCAATATGTAGCTCTTCTTTGATGAGGTGTCTGTTAAGGTCTTTGACCTAATTTTAATTGGGTTGTTTGTTTTCTTATTGTTGAGTTTTAAGAGTTCTTTGAGTATTGTGGACAATAGGCCTTTATCAGATGTGTAATACTTTCTTCTAGTCTGTGGCCTGTTTTCTCATTCTCTTGACATGGTCTTTCTCAAAGCAGAGCTTTTATACTTGAATAAAGTCTATCTTATCAATTACTTCTTTCCTGGATTTTGCCTTTGGTGTTGTGTCTAAAAAGTCATCATCATTCCCAAGGTCATCTAGTTAACTTCCAGGAGTTTCAAAGTTTTGTATTTTATATTTTTGTCTGTGATCCATTTTGAGTTGATTTTTTGTAAGGCATAAGATCTATGTCTAGATTCTTTCTTTCTTTCTTTTTTGCATATGGATATCCAGTTATTCCAGCACCATTTGTTGAAAAGATTATCTTTGCTCCATTGTATTGCCTTTTCTCCTTGGGCCTACTTTTGGGTTCTCTGTTCCATTCCTTTGATCTACTTGTTGATTCTTACTCAAATACCACATCATCTGGATTACTATGCCTTCTTAGTAAGTTGGAAGTACTATAGTTCCAGCCTTCTGATTTCTTTCTTCTCCCTCATCATATTGAAACTATGTTGGCTATACTGGGTCTTTTGCCTCTCCATATACTTCAGAAGCAGTTTGTCACTATCCACAAAATAACTTACTGGAATTTTAACTGGAACTACATTAAATCTATAGGTCAAGTTGGGAAGAATAGACATTTTGGAAATATTGAGTCTTCTTATCTATGAACATAGAATCTCTCTCCAATTATTAATTCTTTGGTTTCATTCATCAGAATTTTGTAATTTTCCTCATATAGATCTTGTATCTATTTCATTAGTTATACCTAAGCATTTCGTTTCTGGGGTGCCAATATAAGTGGTGTTGTGTTTTTAATTTCAAATTTCAATTGTTCATTGCTGATATATAGGACAGTGATTAATTTTCAAATATTAACCTGTATCCTTCAACCTTGCTATAACTGCTTATTAGTTCCAGGAGATTTTTTTTACATATATGATCATGTCATCTACAAAAAAAGACAGTTTTAGTTTTATATCATTCTTCCCAATCTTTATATCTTTTATTTACTTTTTTGTCTTATTGCATTAGCTAGAACTCCCAGTATGATATTGAAAAGGAGAAGCAAAAGGGAACATTCTTGCTTTATATCTCATTTTGTGGGAAAGCTTTTGAATTTCTCACCATCAAGTATGATATTAGCACTAGATTTTTTGTAGATGTTCTGAATCAAGTTAACGGAGTTCCCCTCTACTTTTAGTTTACTGAGAGTTTTTACCATGAGTAGGTGTTGGATTTTGTCAAATGCTTTTTCTGCATGTACTGATATGACCATGTGATTTTTCTTTCTTAGCCTATTGATGTGATGGGTTACATTAATTGATTTTTGAATGTTGAACTGATCTTACATACCTCGGATAAATCCTACTTGGTTGTAGTGTGTAATTCTTTCAAAATATTGTTGGATTCTCTCTGCCAATGTTTTGTCTTTAAATGATGAAATAAAGGTTAAGATTTCAGGCTTCTATTTTCAGGTACTTCTCTGAAAACAATGAATAGTCTTAATTTCCCCAAAATGGAATGTCACATTAGATTAGAATCAATATTTTATTTCCCTTCTTTTCTAAGTAAGTTCTAGGTCCAACATGGGGTTTAAACTCAGGACCCAAAGGTCAAGAGTCACATGCTCTATCGACTGAACCAGTTGGGTGCTCCTATTTCCTATTCTTAACACTGGTTTTCAAGGAATAAATTTTCTATTAGAAAAATACAACTTAATAGATTTGGTAAAAATCATACTGTGGTAGTTTATAGAAGAATTACCGATTTTAAACTCACTAACTTGCTATATTTCAATCAGCAGCTGCACATCTTCTTTAATGATTTTTATGTGTATAATTTAAATGATACATTACCACAGGAAAGAAAACAAAAATTCTACATTATACATGTAAGAATGTATAACTGACAAAGCAGTGACGATCGCTGGGGGTTGATAACCCAATACTTGACCTCTTGACAGCACGTAAGTGCACTCAGTGGTCCTCTACTAGCTCTAGGGCTTGTTCCCTCTGCAGACCCTGTGGAGCTCTCACATGGTTCTATTTTCTATGACAAAATACATGAATAAATACCTTATTAAAACATTACCAGAAAAAGGCTGTAAATTCCATGACACTGGGGACTACATTTACTTTGCTCTTTTATCCCCAGCGTGTGGTGGAGAACATGACGCATGAGAGTGATCAATAAATACCTGCAGAATGAATGAATGAATGAATCATTAATTTGGTGCCTAACCTTCAGTTGGCAAATGTAGCTTTCCAAGCTTCCATTATATATCTGGAAATGGAGGATAGTTACAGCTACTTTCCAGTAAGATAACATGGGTGAGTGTATTTTGTGGACTCTAATACAAATTTAAGAAAAATAAATATTACAAAGAAGCTTTGGTTGCCTAGTATGGCAAATTGCAGCCCAAGGGCCAGGCCAAATCCTCTGGCTCGTTTTGTTGGCCCTCCAGCTATGAATGGTTTGGCTTTCCTAAAGGTTATAAAATACAAAAACAAAACAAAAAGGACTTTCTGACAGAAATCACATATGGCCCATAAAATCTAAAATATTTTAGTCTGGCCTAAAACAGTATCTCTGAGTTTAAGTAAATCTTTTAATGAGTAAATAAATGAATGATTAATACCTCCCAAATGCACCCGTATTTTAATATTTCAGTGACTGAAAAGCAGTGCCATTCTCTGACTGCCTTTCTTCTTCTCAATAGAGCAAGTGATCAACATTATAAAATATTTACCCCCTCCCCAAGGACTCTATGTTGACTTTAAATTTTAAAATAGGGATGCCTGGGTGACTCAGTGGTTGGGCATCTGCCTTTGGCTCAGGCAGTGATCCTGGAGTTCCGGGATCGAGTCCCATGTCGGGCTCCCTGCATGGAACCTGCTTCTCCCTCTGCCTGTGTGTCTCTGCCTCTCTCTCTGTGTCTCTCATGAATAAATAAATAAAATCTTTAAAATAAAAAAATAAAAACAAAATAAAAGGAGTCTATATGCATTTTCATTTTCCTCTCAATTTTATCAAGTGCTTCTGAAACAGAGGTGTGGAATGTCTGGTGAATGGGATAGGAATGGGGGGCTGCAGACCAAGAAAACCACTGCAAACCCGCTGTGGAGCTGTACATGTGATCGCCACGTGGAGTCCAAATCTACCGCAATCAATTCATTGCAGGGTGTAAATACTGACTTTTTGCCCCTCGGGAATCCACCATTGTATAGAAATTTTATATGACACATTTACAGAAATCGAGAAGAGGCTGTGTTTATTACAAAAGAACTGCACTAAACAGGAAAGGAATCTGGAGTTGAATGATCAAGATCCACGTGTGAACTCTACCACCTCCTCAATCTGTCCCTTGGGGCAAATCCATTAGTCTCTCTGAGCTTATGTTTCTTCATTCAGAAAAAGGAAGCAAATATCATTGGTGCCATTTGGAAGGTGGCTGTTAGGAGCCAGGTGCTTGACATACATTTGATCTTGATCTCAAACTGCAAAGTGGTCACTATTAGCCCCAGTACACAGATGAAGACACTTGCTGAGGGAGGTCAAGTAGCTTGCTCCAAGGCACACCAGTAGGAAGAATCAGAGGGTTTGGAGTCAATCCTGACTCGAGCAATACCCTCGGTTAGTTGGGCATCCAACTCTTGGTTTCAGCTCAGGTCATGATCTCAGGGTGGAGGGATCCAGCCCCATGTCAGGCCCCTTGCTCAGCAGGGAGTCTCCTTGGGGATTTTCTCTCCATCCCCCCACTCAAGCGTGCACTCGCTCTCTTTAGTAAATGAATAAATCTTAAAAAAAAAGAGATACCTGACCTTCTTATTTTATCTTACAAAAAACACATGAAACTATGAAATCCCTTCATATTACATTACCGACTTACACCTTAAAGTCAGATGGTTCTCCTACAATGCCCTCTGTTAAATCTATGTCTAGAGAATAATAAAGAGGAGATATGCTCTCCCCTCTGTATTATAAGAACAATCTAAGTTGAGAAAGCATAAATACTTAAGAGCATTAGATTTTGAGCATGTCTCTTGACTGCCACGGTGGCCATGAATTCTATTTATTCCACATCAATTTCCATTCTGATTTTGAACCCAACACCTTTAAGATATGGCATGTCAGTTGATTACTTAAGCCATATTACCTTTGCTTCATTATCTCATGTAGTCTTCCATGTTGGACACACTGTTCCTCCAATTCATCATTTCTTCTCTGTAACTTTTCCAGTTTGTCATATGTATACTTTTTCTCTTGACTGAGCTGAGCTATTTCAGATCTAGAGAGGTAAAAACACAGAAATGACAGATGTTAAAGTATTTATTACAGAGCATGTTTTTACTGTATAACCTTGGCATTCTCTTAAGTCTCATGCTTAAAAATGATGGTGTAAATATTTTATGTAAAACAGAATATTTCAGAAATTGCAAAATATCTAGTGGAGGAATATATGCATTGCAGGCACTCAAGTGGGAGACAGAGAAAGGAATAATGATTTACTTTGAAAGAGATGGCTTCTTCCAGGAACAACACAAAAATGATAATGATTCATATTCATACCCAATATTTATTGAGTGCCTATTATAGGCCAGCCACCATGCTGCTACAGAAGCAACCCCAGGCCTAATCTCTAGGATGGAGCATTGCTTCTTTTAATTAACATAGCTAATGTAATGGCACATGATTAAAATCATATAGTTCCAAAAAGCATAATAATGAAAAATGACATTCCCCTACCCACTACCTCCCCCGGCCCCATCTCCAGCTTGTCAATATAATTACTAGTTTTTCAATGTGTAGTTAAAGCAATAGCCACATTTATATCATGTGATTATCTCAATATTGGTATTTGCTGGCTAAGTACTTGATTATGATCACATATGCACTGGTATACATTTATTGTCCCCAGATGAGTGGGATTTAGTGTAGATTGACAGAATGTGAAGCCACCCTTTTCAGTGGGAGATTCCTAATACCAGTGTGTACAATTCTTTCCTCTGTGGCTCTTTTGCTTCTCAAGAGCAGAATCCTCCAGCTCCCTGCTTGTTCTGTCTGACCCTTGCCAGCAGTGGTCTAGGAGCAGGTCGGAAATAGAGAGGTAAGGATCTCACCTTTCAGAATGCAGACGTCAATATTAATTTCTCTATGCTGCCTTCAGTGCCTCTATTTTAAGCAGAGGCTGCTGGTTTGTTTAATGTCTTCAGAGAGGAAGCCCCCAGTTTGCTGGGTGGAGGAGGACAGTCATAGCTGGGTAGGGTGGGGAGTAGAACTGTTGATTTTGGTTTCAGTCCTATGCTCCACTTCTGCCTTCCGAATTTTTCTGGTATCCCAAGAGCAGATCAGTTTCTTTCATTCGCAGTGACTCCTCTGGAGACACATAAGATTTGCCTTCCTCCATTTTGCCACATCAGGTTCTATTTATCCAATCTTCTTTCTGCCTTCACACATCTCATTTGGGATCACAGAGGGCTCCTTAGGTGATGATTCACGTCTCTCAGGAAATATGCTACCTCTTCAGTATCTTGGAGGATTATCTCAAGTCTCAAAATTTAAAGATCAGAAAGATACCTATCTGAGAAAAACCATATCCCTGTCCTTGTTTTTGGTTCAACATGGTCCCTGTGGCCACCACCCCCCCCATGCCCCACTGCCTCACAGGTACTGAAAGTTTAAAGCTCTTGCATACAGTTAAAGACTGGTTGTTTCTTAAAGTTTAAGTAAGACATTTGAAGCAGAATGATGTCTCTCCAATGAAAGGATTCTTCCATTAGGTGAGAGAGCCTTTTCTTCTTGGTCAAGAAGAGATGTGGATTTACTTGGAATTCATCCCAAGGACCAAGTAGCCTCATTGTATGAAGCAATTTCCCACTTTCCATTCACCTCATTCCTCATTTTGTTTCATTTTGGTTCCAGGTTCATCTCAAAGGAAGCTTGCTCTGATCAATACTTTGCAGTTCTCAATATGTCAGCACATTTTTTAAAACTACCCCCAGCTTTTATGCATGTATTAGCTTATAATTTATTCCTCTGAACTGTGGCTCGATGCCTCATCTTTCTTACTAGATTATACATGAGAGCAGGGATTATCTCTTTTTCAAGCTCAGATCAAGCACTTAATCTACGTTTGCTTCTCTTAATAAGAATTTACCTATATTTGAAATAGTCCAAATCAGTTAATAATGACTTATGCTTCTCCTTTCAAAATCACATACAATATTTGGTAATTTAAGGGAGTTATAAGAAATTATTAAGTTAGTGTTCTTCCAAGATTAGTATCTCCTGCCACAACATGTACTATGTACTAAAATAAACTCCAAAAAAACAACAGATATCCTTAACCTGGATTAGGAAAACATGCAGAGGAATATTTATCTGTTCTCAGTTCTTTCCCCAGGGGAAAAAAAAAGTCACTTTTTAAAAGAACAATCACAAACGAAACATAGATTTTACAATATAAAAATACAAAACCTTTACATACAAAAAAATCATAATGTTCACAGTAGCAATTCTTTCTAGAAGCAGCCTTGCTATACAACCCAATATATGGAAACTGAATCTAGAAATGTGTCAACAGAAGATTGGTTACATTACTTATACAAAGGAATATCAAGAGGCTATACGGACAGTGAGAGCTATCTGTTGGCACTATTTATTAACTGAGAAATATGATTTATTGACCTAAAAATATGATATACTGGTAAGAAAGGAAAATATTGAAAAATCAGCATCTATAAAAGTGATACCATTTTATAATTAAAAATACCTTTTCCCCTCCCCCTTAAAATATTTTGATGTGTATATTACATTTTAATATTGATTCTTTCTAGGTGTCAGAATTAGGAATTTTTAAAGATTTATTTTCCTTTTCCATGTTTTTTGAGTTTTTACAATGGACATAGATTTAAGACAAAAAATAAAGTCACTTTAGCTGAATCTACTGTGGCCATCATGTCATAATACATATAAACCTCACCATCAGGCTCCACATCTTAAACCTAGATGGTGATGTATGTCAATTATTTCTCAATAAACCTGAACAAAAAAAAACTGAAAGTCATTTTGATTTTGAAAACAATTCATAAAAACCAAAAGGAACTGGGAATAAAAATTTCAAAATTAAAACAAGAACTGGGAACACATAAAAAATGAGACAAATGAGTATTAGAAGCCTCATTTAATAAAGTGCTATTCCACTCTCCAGCAAAATTCCAATTAAAAACAAATATGAGGAATATGAAAAATATTCACAGAGGTCAATAAACATTTATAAAATACTCAATTTCTACTATTATTTAAAAAATGCATAACAAAGCCAGATTCCAGTTGAATATTTAGTGCATGCCTACTCTCTGCCAGATAGCTGAATGCATCCTTTTTATTAATGATCACAATTAATTCTTCAAGGTACGTGTTTATTTCCTTTTCTCTTTGAGATAAGTAGGAGGTCACCTAAATGGTGATTAGCCCAGCCCAGATACAAACACTGGCCTGTCCAACTCTAAAGGGGTTGTCCCACCCACTGTACAATACTGCCTCTCACTTTTTCTTTTTTAAACCTCACCTGTTTGTGTTACATATTGATACGGGTACATGTATACTGAGAATTTAATGTAGCACCTGATCAAAGTCATCCACCTCAACAGCCTTAAAAAGGGTCCAAATCATTGCAACAAAAAAAGAGACAAGTTCAGGGTCTTTGGACCAGCAATCCCCTGTTAGGCATCTTGCCTAAGGGAATCAGCAAAAAAAATTCAGAGTTATGGACAAAATTATTATTGTATTCTTCATAACAGTTAAAAACTGGAAACATCTTAAATGTCTAATGAAGTATCATGCATATGAATGATTCAATTAAAATAGTTTCCAGAGTAGTGATGTAGACAAATGTTCACCAGATGACAGTAAGTGAAAAGCAGGATACAAACTGTATATACAGAACTCACTAACCAGGTGAATGCATGTGCCCATACATTCACACACAAACTCACTGAAAGGAGATACTTCACAGCTGAACAATATACTTCACTGGATGGTAATGTCAAAGGAAAATTTTTTCTTAATTTTTCTTTGTAGTTATAGCCAAATGTCCTATATTGAGGATTTCTTGCATGACCATAAAAAGATAAATGTTATTTTGTAAAGTGCACATTACTATCAGGTATTTTACTGCTATATTTTTTTCTGCTTTGCATATTTTGGGGTTTCTCCCCTCCCTTTGTTTATAATGGTAATTTGCCTTACAATTTGCAATGTTTGATAAAAATTTGGCAAATACATATGGACATCATCATTTGTCTGTCTAGGGCCCATGATATATTGAAAGAACTAGTAGTTTGCAAAGTTCAGAGAGTAAACTTCCAGCACAAGTTTCTGTGTTGATTCAAGATTACATTTGTGGCATGGTTATCCCAATGTCATATAAAAGAATAATTGACTCTAATCCATTTTTATAGAAAATTTAGGGGGATCCCTGGGTGGCGCAGCGGTTTGGCGCCTGCCTTTGGCCCAGGGCGCGATCCTGGAGACCCGGGATCGAATCCCACGTCGGGCTCCCGGTGCATGGAGCCTGCTTCTCCCTCTGCCTGTGTCTCTGCCTCTCTCTCTCTCCCTCTGTGACTATCATAAATAAATAAATTAATTAAAAAAAAAGAAAATTTAGGTAATTCCTGGCTTCACAGAAGCATGAACTTTTCCCTGCATTTTTATATACCAGTTATATTGTATAGTGGCACTTGCATGAAGTATAATATTTTACTACTACAATTACGATTACAATGATAATTGCTTTTTAAGGGAAAACCTGACCCCTTAATTTTTTATTCTTTTAGATTCTCACTTAACTTTTGGTGACAATTAGCAGAAGCCAGTATGAGTCTCTCCTTGCAGAACATAATTTGCGCAGCATCCCAACCTAACATCATCTAAATATGCGGGGGGAAAAAATAGTTCAACCGGGTGTGTGTTCTTTACTTCAATTAAACTCACACAGTTGGATACTGAGTGTTGCCAAAACAGTAATATAATTTATACATTATAGTCCACACAGTAAAACTACACTAAAAGTCATTTAACAATATTTATAACACCATAAAATACAGTGTTAAAATATATGAACTGCAATATGTACCAAAATTATAAAATTTGTTTCTCATCATCAGTGATTAAAACCAGGATCATTGCTCTAGCCTCAATACCCACAACCCTGGTGACAGATTAGAATTCAAATCTTAATGATCAATTTACAATTAACAAGATAGAAGTGAAACAAATTAAACCAACCATTATATATAACGAGACCCAATGGACTCCCATTGTTCCTCTTAATTACAAAACGCAAATCACAAATACACAATGGGCAGTGTTAGACATCAATCCATAAGCCTAGCAACCCAGAAAGTGACAATGACGGGAAAGAAAGAAGAGAAGCAAAACCACCATGTAGACCGGGGTTCTGTGCTCGCTGCTAGCCTGTCTCTCCAACATGCAAGTGCCCAGGGGCTGCAACGGAGAACAGGCTGGATCTTCACCCTGCAGCTGGCAGAGGCTCATGCCTCCCAGCGCCCAACACTTCTCAGCTCTTCCCAGGCCACGGTCAGAGCACTACAAACTGCACTGTGAACATTTTACTGCTGATTCATCCAAGCGCCTGCAGAGAGGGAACACTTCCCTCACTCTGATAAACAGAAATCACAGTTGCCCCAAAAATATTTTAAAAGCTCCACTTAACCACCCTCAAAAACAACCCTATAGTTGTAATAAGCTCCCAGGGTTCTGGAGAACAAAGACGAAAGGGTAGCTAAAGTTTATGGGAGCATCAACTAAAATTAGCCAGAGTGTCTGCCTGGTGCCAATTAAAAACAAAATGGAACTAATTCTCTTCGTCTCATGGTCAGAAACAAGCTATATAAAATGCACAGAATCGGCAGTTCATTTTTAGTCTGAAAATGGGATGTGCCATTCACAAACCCGAGAGTTAAAGACACCACCCAAGCGGTGTGGAATGCGCGGTGCACAAAGTAGCGTGCTAATCACTGCGGAGGGCTTCCAGACAATGGGAGGACAAGGCGCTGCCACAAGACGACCTACGTTACTTGGGGAAAAAAACATGTAAATGGACACACACGGAGGACCCATTTCTAAACACTTCCACAAAGCAGCCTAACATGAGGCTGGGGTAACGAGTTAGAGCCTACGGAATGGTGAGCCCAGACTGTCAGCTTTCCTAGGGACTGCATGGGCTCTGGTTAAAGGGCTGGATCTGTGAGTAAAAAAAAATAAAGCTTGTTATAAATGGTGTGACTCCATTTGGTTAATATGGGATTATAAATAACATGGAACTCTTAGAGAAATGTCACGTTTAAGAAAAAGGGAGTCAAAAAATTGGTTTCAATTGTTGATCAATACAGAATAAATATACCTACTTTAAAAAAATATTACTGTAGTACTCTGAGGAAAAGCGGGATCAAAATTACCATGTGATTTAATTATTTTGGAGACTGAAGTTCCACAATGACAACACTTTAGAAAGCTCCAAAAACTCCAAGATTTTCCTTACCTCAAAATGCAGGAAAAATCATTTATCCAAAGTTTAGTATAGGGTATACAGAGCTCCTGGAGAGTATCTATAGGGCTTCCTAAGTTTATAATCTTTATTTAAAAAGAAATACTCTGATCTCTTCAAGTTATATAGGTGAATTCAAAGCAAAAGGTAATGTCAAAATCAAATGATAAATGTTGTATGCATTTTGAAAATGTCATAGTCTTCATGGAGGGAGCCAGAAAGAAAAGAGACTCAGTGGACAAGAGATTGAGAGTAAAAAAAACAATCTTTATCATATGTACCACTTTCTTGTGAGACACACAAAATGAATATTTAAAAAACTTTGGCGGCTCTTAAAAGTTTTAACAAATATAAGTAATGGTTTCTTGAATGTTTACGATTGCCAGGCCTTAGTTTTGGATAAACATGTAAAATTACAGTAGATGCCTATTTGAATTCTTCAGATTTACAAAACCAGCCATCAGAGCAGGACTTGAAACACAGTCAGATCCACATTTTCCTGATCCTACTTTGCCTTTAAAAAAGGTTTTCCTTGTGGTATAGAGTTTATGTCTGTCAGAATGGCACTCAGACCCTCCCTGGCAAAGACAGTAATGGCTAGATCAAAGTCAAATCCAAACTACTCTAGTCAAGACCTTAAAACAGTGCTATCACCTATGGTTACACTTTTGTGTGTCAAGCACCATGCTAGGTGATTTACATAGGCATGTATGTATATGTGTGGATCCATGTATCTCTCTATGTTTCTAATTCCCACAACAATCTTGCAACATAGTTTTAGAAATGTTTTAGGGGCACCTGGGTGGCTCAGTCACTTAAGCATCTGACTCTTGGTTTCAGCTCAGGTCATGATCTCAGGGTCAAGCTTCACACTGAGTATGGAGCCTATTTGAGATTCTCTCTCTCTTCTCCCTCTGCCCCTCCTGACCCCCTTCATGTTCTCAATCAATAATTAAAAATATATATATTTTGTAGATGGAGAAGCTGAAGTTTAGAGATATTAGGCAATGTACCCAAGGTCAAACAGCCAAGTGAGAGTCAAACCTAGTTCTTCCTGAATTCTGAAATGGTTTTTACTGCACCTTGCCTGTCATCAACAAAGGAATAGGTTGGGACCAGAATCAGGGCAAGATATGAGGGTGTAAAACCATACCTGTTTCATTCATTTAGTCAGTAAATATGTACTGAGTGCCATGTGTGTGTCAGACATAGAGGAACACACTCAATCAACACAGTAGTGGTCAGACACTGGAGGGATCCAAAGCAAGAGGAGGTGGAGAGGGCCTGAGGTTCAGTCTGTACAGGGTAAATGAATAGATTTAGATCAGCAAAAAGAGGGCCCGGGGCACAGGGCACAGGCTGACCCATGGGAGGGGTTGACCTCTCCCATGACAAGCATGCCTACTTCTCCTGGAATTTAAATAAGAATTTTTCTTTCCCAAACTTTTTCATCATCACTACTTTGGCCTCGATTTTCTTTGGTAGTAGATATAAAATATTATACTTATTACAAGAAAGATTATAGGCCTTGGAACTAGAAATATCTATGATAGACTCTAGCTCTCCCACTTTCCAGCTATTTAAATACTCTGAGTATTGGCTCCCTCACATGCAAAAGAAGATAATAATTCCTGTCTCAAGTTGTAAGAATTAAATAACATATACCAAGCATTGTACACGTCCTTCTCTTTATATGCTGCAATCTCCAGAATTACATCTCCTTAGAGAGCAAGGTAATTAATAATTGATCACAAAGCAATCTTAAGATAGCACAATCCTTTAAGTCCCAGACCAATATAACTTTTTCTTAAATTATATGATAGTTGTTTTTGTTTATTTCTAACAAATCCTTTACTTTGGAGTTTATGTGAGGCAAATTAAATATTTCTAATTAGCAATAGCTACTATTGATATAAGGGTCTCTTCCATGAAAAAATCATTTGGGTTTCCCTGTCAAACTTCCTGAAAATATCTGGGATTTTGGCACCCTGAGCTTGTTCTCTACCCAAACAAGATATTTAATTAGTAATTGCTGGGGATCTCTGGGTGGCTCAGCAGTTTAGCACCTGCCTTCAGCCCAGGGCGTGATCCTGGAGTCCCGGGATCAAGTCCCACGTTGGGCTCCCTGCATGGAGCCTGCTTCTTTCTGTCTCTGCCTGTGTCTCTGCCTCTCTCTCTCTCTCTCTCTCTGTTTCTCTCATGCATAGATAAATAAAATCTTTAAAAAATAATAATTAGTAATTGCTAAGGAGGTGCACACGTCAGAGCATATTCCAGTGCTTTTTAGGAGGCTCTGTCTTCCTATGAGCAGAATGAACTGGATTCATAAGCATTTTGGTTCATTCAGGGATGGGGATTCCATCAGCTAAGCCACCTGATGCAGGAACCCAAGATAGGGCTCAGGTTGATCAGATTTGCTCTGATTCTCTTGGAAATTCTTTCTGAATGAGATACCTAAGTCAGAAGTTTGTTTGTTGAGCTCTATCACTTGCTCTGTGTAGATCTTAGTGAGCTTCAGAAAAAAATAGAAGACATCTACAGGTTATTTTTCCATTAGGTTGTATTTTAATGGGACATCTGATGTCTAGTTAGCTACATGAATGATGCCTTTTATAGTTCAGTTCAAAGTGATTCTATCCAATATCATTCATTTACAAGAGGAAAGCACAGTTTAAGAAGTCAAGTAAATTTGCCTAAGATTACACACTCTCAGAGCTGAGATGAGAATTCAGGCTTCTTGTCATTTAGAGTATAAAATCATCCATCCATGGGAAGTAATATGATTAGAAAATGTGCAGAAAATAATTTATGAAGATCCCAATCAATGTATCTCATAAAAGAACAGTGTATCTACAAAATGAATGATAGCTGTTACTGTAAAACAAGTCAATTTTAGGAGAACAAAAGAATGGTTTGGGTTTATTTATTTTCAAGTATCACCTACTTTCATTTTTATAGATATACATTTCATCTATTATCATTTGACCTAGAAACAGCTTCTGGGTGTTCGTGGAGCACTGTGATAACAGATTAAAATGTTAACTGTACCAACGTAAGACTTTAAAACTGCTTGACTGATTTATCTGAATCCTTTATTAAAATATTTGCCATCTTGAACTTTGTGTTCTGAAGTTTTATAATTATCAATTCTGAACATTAAAAAAGTCAAATAATAGTACATACACATAATCATGAAAAAACACCTAGGTGTCTGTATGGATAATTAAGAAACTGTCATACGGAGAAAATATTTTCACAGGAAATATGTCAACACATATCTAATTTTGACATTAGCTTCAAATAGTAGAAATACTGTTTTTTAAGAAAAAAAAATGACAGTATTCGCACAAACAGTGCTCTGAAAGTATTGTGTAACATTACCTACCTGCTTTTTTGAGAGATTTGCTCCAGTTTCTTGGCTAATGCACAGCACTCTTCCTTTAACTTTGTCAAAAATGTATTCTGGGAGGTCAGCAATGAATACTGTTCATTTTCTGGAAATAACAATAAACCCCCCACCAATATAAGATATTTATGGTTGTAATTCTGCAGGGCTTCCATATGTAGATTGGTAAGTGCTAAGACTGCTACCCATTTCTGGTAAGCCATTTGGTCAATTTCAAGGTCCTAAGTCAAAGGACCACTCACCCAGAAAGACACTGAATCTTGGGAGGCATTAATTTGTCTAATAATTACACACCAAAAACATTTTTGATCACTCTAGCTTGGGGTAATGTTTTAAGGTGTTGATAAACTGTCAGATATCTCAAATGAAGCCATAGATGCCTGTATCTTTGTAATATGCAAGATATTATATTTTTATTTTAACAATTTTACTATAAACTGTCAAAAACGATCACAATTAGATAATTCACAACTAAAATAACGGAGGAACTCTCTTCTATACTGTAATTCATACTTTATGTTTCATATTCGCCCACGTATCTCACTGTTCCAACCCCTTGCATATACTTCTTTAATTATGAAGGTAAAATACATGATTTTCTTTCAAATTTGGATTTCATTGTCAACAGTATGAGTTTCACTGAAGATCTGGTCAAAGGAACTGAAGAGAGTGTGATATATTTGTACAAAATAAAAGGAAGTGTCCTTAAGGAGCTCTTAACAGTTAAATATTCTCACGGAGTATTTAGAATCAGAGATTCTGCTCAACACTCCTTGATTACTAGAATCTTGCGAGCAGGAGGGGTAAACACTAATTTTTTCTAGGATTTCCTCCTCTTATTCTTACTGGACAAACAACTACTGATTCTGGAAAAATGCTAGAGGGAATCATGTGAGTCAATATGACATTTGCCTTTTAGAAGCAAATAAATGATTTAATGAATTTTATCCCACAATTTTTCACCTATAGGATAAGCAATAATTTTTTTTTACCGTGTCATCAAAAATAGTGCACAGGAGATCATGTGAAAATTATCTTTAAGTGTAAGGTTTAACAAATCCGTTTATTTCTTTCTGATTTTAGCTCTTTATTGGCAAAAAGCATATAATCTACAAAGCAAAATAAATCAAGGCACTAAAAATTAAGCAACACTTTTCTGGAAGAGACAGGATCAATTAAACTTTTGTTTTAATAGTACAATCAGCTTGGAGTATGTGGTGTGGAATTATAATGACTGACATGGTCTTGTTTTGACTAACACTGTCTGTGAACACACAACTCAAAAGTGAAAGGAACCACAGAATGCTCCGACTGAACACATCAAACTGCCTGCTTTGAACAAAAGTGCATTTTACTTTCAAATTAAAGGTAAAGAGTTACTGGCCAACTCAGTCTGCAAAACAGCACCGATGTGATGAAAGATGGCAATTTTTAGCCAAGCTGCCAGCTGTGGTCAATGCCTTGTATTAGTGAATTTTCACAGCAGTTTGAGAACTTGAAGAATGCAAAGGATTAAACATCACTCTAGATTGGGCTGGGGGAGGTGGGGAAATCATACAAATGCTAAAAATGTTCGAAGCTGCAAAGATTAAATAAAGGAACATATCAATTTGGAGCCACTGAATTACATCCAGCTGCGACAGTGAATTAAGAACCGATTAATGGCTAAAGCTTTTCTCCAGTTTGGATGCTGAAGCAAACTCATTAGGCTTTTAGAGTAGCTATAATGTGTGTACTGTGGGAACTGTTCAATGCTATTCAGGAGACTCTAACTGTAAGCTCAGAGCATTTCCCGCAGAGCTTCTGATGCTATTTTTTTATATAACATGTGTGCCTGAAAACCCAGCCAAAAACAAGCCCTTTGTTTTTCTACTTTGTTGTGGTCTCTCTCAGCTTTACGTTTCTTGAACACAGGTAAATAAACTCATAATCCAGATGGTGCAACAGATGTGAGAGCAGCACTCTGAAATCAACAGACAGTGGGCAATACTTTCCATTTTCTCTTTTAAACGCTAACTAATATGTAATTCGGAATCTCCGGTGTAGTTAGCATCTGCTCCCTTCGGCCAGCCAAAGGTTACAGGTGTTCCTGATGTCATTTCACAGTAAGGCGTGGGCCTGGCTTGTGAGCCAGTGCCCAGGCTCTAATCTTTCCCTACCACCTACCAGTTTTGTCATGCTGGGTCTCCATTTGCTGTATCTTCTGTGTCAGCTCCTGCTCTCTTTGCTGGGCCTGAAGGGCTTGAGCCTTTGCTTCGTTGCTAAAGCTCTGCTGAATGCTATCTTTTTCCAGTCTACAAAGCAGAGAGGAGACAGACAGAAATGTAATCTACAGATGCATCAAGGCCCACCATTTCCCCTACAGACCACAGAGAGCTGATACATTGTAAATTGTGAAGCAGAAGAAGACAACAATCATTGCCAGACTCTCCAGCAATCCCTCCCCGCCCCCTGCGGGGGAAGAGCCAAAGGACCTTTCATACCGTATTCAATACATGCCATACATTGAAAGGGACTAAAGTATACAACTTTAAAAATCAAAACATCATGACCTCTGAATATTTTGTAACTTTAAAACACATACCCCCTTTTTGGTTAAGACTGTCAACGTTCTGTGCCACCAATTGTTGTTTTAGCTTTTGAATGGTCAGATTTCCTACGGATCTTGTGGTTCTACAAAAGGCATGATTCAATACACCAAAACTTAAATTCTTGAAACTAAGCTTTGTAGACCACTCTGCTTTTCCTCTCCAACTTAAAATGGAATCTCAGATAGAATGTAGGAGATCCTATCTAGAAGCAAATAAATGCTTCTGCCACGTGCATGTTTTCAGTATACATCTTCACACATTAGGCCACATAATGGGAATATAAATATGAATATGAAAATGAATAACTTCCCCCAGCATTTCATAATAAGACCCCTTTTGGGTCACTTGAGAGAATTTGCAAGATGAGAATATGCCACAGTCCAAGACAATATCCCACCCCTGGGTGATGGGATATTGACTCCTTGAGATGGGTCATCCCACCAGGTCAATATCCCATCACAGTGGTTCCTAAAGAAAGAAACTGCCTAAACAATTAGAAGCTGAAGAATGTACAGGATCACATTGCTGGCAGCAGTGTAGATACTGACACCACACACACACACACATTAGGTTTGTTCCTCATACTCTAAATATGGGTAAGTGAAATGAGGGTTTCCTTTAATTAACTGACTTAGTTATTTCTAACTCCTTATCTCCTTGTGGGCATTTCTCATCCGTGCTGTTTTAGTTTACTAATTGAGATATTTACTGCCTTGCCTTTGCCAAACTAAAAATAAACAATTCCATAAAGCTATCACTAGTAGTCTACATACCGCTGTGGAGCTTCGATTCATTGGCTTCTAATTATAAAGCAACATAAGGAAAGTCTGTATTGAAATTGGTCAATGCATGCAGTAATGTTGTGGTGTAAAATTTCAGAAGGAAACTATACCCATACCTCATTCAAATGGAATCATCAGGAGTCCACGTTAAATGTGAAATAAGGTCCCTTCTGGTGCTTCTAATAACAACACCCCCCTGGACTTGCTCCAAGGTCTTCCCTCACACTAAGTTCCAAACTGGTATATTGCAACAAATAGATACACTAGGCCACTTTTTGCCTCCCCAGTCACTTCATGCATCTTCTGCCTGTGGATCACTGCTTATATCTCTGTTTTCCTGGGATGTCTCCCCCACCATCCAGTTCCACCCCCACCCCTGTCCTTCTACTCAATGTACCCTGGTCCTTTGAAGTCTGCTCAAAATTCTCCCCTCTCCTCCCATTCTCTCTTAAATCAAGTATTCTTTCCTCAGCGATCTTAATATATGTTGTAAATGGATACATCCTACTAAGATAGCATTTATCACACTTGAATTATTGCTTCTTGTCATCTTTGTGTCTCTAAATCCTGAGCCCACCTTAGGATTGGCACATAAGAAGTCAGCAGTGAATGCTTAATGAATAGATGTTCTTATACCCTTACCATGGGGGACGGGAGGGTGCAGTCTTTAGTGAGGCTGGAGAATCTGCTCAAGCTGGTAATGAGGGGGCAAAAACTTTTCAGACATGTTAAAAATAAGAGTGCCTGGATGATAGTGGCTCTGGTGCCTCTGTCAGCTGGAGATCATGCTCCTGAAGGAATGAGCCTAAAAAAGTGAACTCTTCCACTGAGTAACCACATTTAGGTCAGACCCCTGGTTATAGGCAGGGAGATGTGGGGCTCTGAGATCACTAAAAACCAGGTAGCCATACAATGCACCAATACAAATGGATACAAAACCAATATGCATTTGAGAGTGAAAAGGAGAGCTATTGATAATCATACCAGGACAATAGTGATAACTGGGGCTACCCTTGGTAAACTGTGGCTATGGTTCTTCTACATAAGGGTCTCAACATCAATTTTTAGCATGAGAAGCTGCCTAATAACTGATATTCTAAATTTATAATAGAAAAAATAACTATTGTTATTATACCTCTCCTTATAAAATAAGACAATTTAAAAGAATACTCGACCAAAGTGCCTGGGTGGCTCAGTCAGTTAAGCGTCTGCCTTCAGCTCAGGTCATGATCCCAGGGTCCTGGGATCGACACCAGGTCAGGCTCTCTCTGTTCAGCAGGGAGATTGCTTCTCCCTCTGCCCCTCCCTGCCTCTCATATGTGCACTTTCTTTGCTCTCTCAAATAAATAAATGAAATTAAAAAAAAAAAAAGCTCTACCAACAAATGTTGAGTTATACACCATGTCTTGTTTCTTGAATCCTTCTCCAATTTTTACTGTATTTAAGAAACTACATATTATTTTATAATTTTAATTGAGGTATAATTGACATATTAGTTTCAGGTGTACAACATAATGATTCAATATCTGTGGTACGAAATGATCACAAGTCTAGTTCACATTTTTTTTAATGGATAAAAACATGGCATACCCGTACTTTCCTATTTCCTCCCTTCAGCCCCCATTACTCCCGTGTTGCGTTCTCCTCCTGTAGGTTCTTTCTGACTTAGTAGGCTTTTTTTTTTAAGATTTTATTTATTTATTCATAGAGCTGCAGAGAGAGAGAGGCAGAGACACAGGCAGAGGGAAAAGCAGGCTCCATGCAGAGAACCTGATGGGGGACTCGAGCCAGGGTCTCCAGGATCACGCCCTGGGCTGCAGCCGGCGCTAAACCGCTGCGCCACTGGGGCTGCCCCAACTTAGTAGGCTTTTTATAAAACCTTACAATGTTGTTAGAACTGAAAGGGAATCTCAGATCTGTTTAATCACATCCTTTCACATTACAGCTGAAAAAAGAAATCTGCTCAAGGTTACATTGTAAGTGATGTGAAGGCAGAGGTGGTATTTGAAATATTCTGATCTAGGGAAACTTATTTTATGACCCTCCAGAGGTAATGTGATCATGGATGAAAGAATTAATAAAAACCACTTATGTATCCAAGGGAGGGATTAGGGAAGAATTCAAATCAATCCATTTAATATTTATCATAACTGTATTATGTGAAAGACACTCTGCTAGGCACGGAGTCAAATAATGACAAATATGGCATAGTCCTTGCTCCTGACTGGGAATTCAAAATGGCTAAAATAGGAAGTAGAAGGTGGAATACATGATAAGAAAGCTATAAGGGGTAAACAACCAAAGCTAAGAAAAATGAGAGGTCAGTCCCAGTGGAGTGTGAGAGCGCCCTGAAGGGTAGCTGAGCTGGTCTTCCCCAACTGGGTTTCCTTCCGTTCTCACTCAGAACACTGATGATTTCACTTAATCAGATTTGTAGCTAGCTATATTTTATAAACTGGAATAAAAGCAATGTCAGTAAAGAAGAATTTCTTGGTTGTGATTAAAATGAGGCTGAAAGATATATTTATAATAGCTAAAAACTAGAAACAATCTAAATGTCTATTAACTGCCAAGTGGATAAACGAATTGTGTTATAGCCTTACAGGGATACAAGGAATAGTAGGAATAAAAAGGAACAAGGTACTATAAGTATAACTCACAAGTGAGCCTCAAAAGCAGTATGCTTAAAGAAGCCAGGCACCAAAAACATATTGTATGATTTCATTTATGTGATGTTCTAGAAAAGTAAACACTAGAGCGACACATGAGTGCCACCAGGAACTGAGGACAGGGGATGAGTGTGAGGCAACAAATAGGCATGAGGAAAATTTGGAGTTGACAGAAATATTCTGTATTAGGATTATGACGGTTCCACCATTTCACACCTAAAGTTGGTGATTTTTATCATATTTAAATTTACCTCCATAGAGCTAATTTTAAAAAGGAGCAAATGGACTACAATAGGAACATCTTTCTTCTTCCCCAAATTATTCACAATCACCAGTGGCCACAAATGCATGCGTGGCCATGTCAATGTTTTCTTGATGACAAGAGTTAAAGTCAAAAGTACTGGATAGACTTAAAACACAGACTATGTACACACAGAGGTTTTGCCACTCCTTTTTTCCAATTATAGTTGTGGTTGATTATATTTTCTAAGAATGTCTGCAATGATACATACCATCCCATTAAAGAAACAGACTGAGGAACTGTTCTGATCCCCAACATTTCTGTATCATTATTTTAAATCCTGCTATTTAAAAAATATTCATGTCGAAGAGAAAAAATGACTTATTAGATTTTTTAAAGGACATTTAAAATTTTATAGCTACATTGAAGAACTAAAAGTTTCTGATGATCTTAAAGTTCATCAATGAGTCTGGGACAGAAATGATGAAAGCTTCAAGTCTAACCCAAGAATGAGGCCTATAGTGGCAGTGATTTGAGGCACCAGTCCTGTCTGCCATGTTTCTAGTCATCTTTTCACTGAGGGCTGAAAGTTCTAGTATTAAACTTATAACCCTTTTGGTTAAAAGGTGTTTCCCTTTTAAAGTACAATATAGAGAGCTTTGTGACAGTATTGGTAAGACAAAGTTATCTGACCCTTTTTAAAAAAATTTTTTTTAAGATTTTATTTATTCATGAGACACACACACACACACACACACACACACACACACGAGACACAGGCAGAGGGAGAAGCAGGCTCCATGCAGGGAGCCTGACATGAGACTCAATCCTGGGTCTCCAGGATCATGCCCTAGGCTGAAGGCAGTGCTAAACTGCTGAGCCACCCAGGTAGCCCTATCAGACCCTTTCTAACATGCTTTCTAGCCAAGAGCCATTCCTGATGGAATTATATAGAAAAGCAGCAGAGAGGTATGGGTGTTATTATGAGTTAAGACACATGATGTTCATTTG